ACAAAAGTCATTTTTTATATTTTAACGTAGAAATAATTTCTTAGATTCAACTGAATTGGAAAGCCATCTTTTAAGGTCCTGCAGATGTCTTGGGAAAACACATTTGACTTATGGAGTGTATGATAATTCATTATACTAAACTATTTTTAATTTTTTCTTAAGGCTTCCAGACAAGCTGCGGGGATTCCGGGGATTACGCCAACTGAAGAAACGTGAGGAATTGTTTCTTTGGAATCAAGTGGAATCAACCCATCATTTTTAGTACCCAAACTAAGCCATATTTTTATATTACTCAGCCTATTTAATTTCTTTATATATTCTAAATTTACATCTGGGCCTACAACCTAAAACTTTATTAAGAAAAGAAAAGAGCGCTGTGTAAATCAAAACCTTTAATTGCTTTCATTTTTCCTAGCCAAAGAAAGTAGAAAATAGAGAGACAGGATTAAGATAAAAGGTTAAGAAGAAAAAAATTGCCATACCTGATGTGATGATTTTCATCAGCCTATGATAACCATTGATGTCTTACAATGAGGTGCTGCAGAAGTTGTATAGTTTCCAGTTTCTGTGTCACATGTTCCTTTTGTAGCTGTTTTATTTGGTGGCATAGTAGTTAAGTGCTCGGCTGCTAACTGAAAGGTCGGTGGTTCAAACCCACCAGCTGCTCTGTGGGAGACAGATGTGATGATCTGCTTCCATAAAGACTACAGCATAGGAAACCCTATTGGGCAGTCAACCTGGTCCTTTAGGGTTGCTGTGAGTCAGAATCGACTTGACGGCAATGGGTTTTTTGGTTTATGATGTCCATCGATAGAATGAGATACTGCAAAAGTTGGATATCTTTCCAGTTTCTGACTCAGATGTTCCTTGTGTAGCTTTTTTATTTGGATTCAAGTGATGATAAATTTTCAAAGTATCAGACAAATCCATATCTAACTATATAACTGTAGAAACATAGCGAGAAGTCAAATATAATGGAGTTTTGGATTCTGCAGTAATTTGAATTTCATGCACCTGTGTTCTCATCTGTTGACACGGTTAATTCAGATTCAGGTATTGATTTTCTGATTCTTCCAAGTGAAATTAATTGTTTTTTTAAATGATGGTCTTTTCTCAGAGACGGTAATCTTCCAGATATTGTCAACAGTGGAAGTTTGCACGAGTTCCTGGTTAATTTGCATGAGAGATACGGGTCCGTGGTCTCTTTCTGGTTTGGCAGGCACCTTGTGGTTAGTTTGGGGACCGTTGATGTACTGAAGCAGCATATCAACCCCAATAAGACATGTAAGTGTAATTTTCTTTCTAATTAGCTGATTCTTATTTCTTAAGAATAAATATCTAATGAATGAAGAACTATACGTTGTTCTTAAATAGGAATGTTGTTATTGTTAGCTGCTGTAGAATTGACTTTGACTCTTGGCAACCTTACATACAAAAGAACAGAATGTTACCTGGTTCTGCATCATCCTCACAATTGCCAGCAAGTTCAAGTCCATTGTTGAGGCTGTTGTGCTAATCCATCTCACTAAGGGTCTCCCATTCCCTTATTGGCCGTCTGTGTCACGAAACATGGTGCCCTCTAGTGATTGATCCCTGACGTGTTCTGTTATGATCTATACGGTTTTCATTGGCTAGTTTTTGGAAGTAGATCACCAGGGCTTTCTACCTAGTCTGTCTTTGTCTGGAAGGTCTGCTGAAACTTGTCCACCATGGGTGATCCTGATGGTATTTGAAATACTGGTGGCATAGCTTCCAGCACCATAGCAACATGCAAGCCACCATAGTACAATGAACTGACAGATGGGTGGTAGTAGATAGGAATAGATAACTTATTGGATGTTTTGTACTATGTGCCAGGCATTGTGCTAAAGTCTTTATATTTGTTAACTCATATAAGACAAAATACTGTAAAATAATTATTTTTTTTCTTCAATTTATGGATATACAATGAAATCCCAATGCAGATTCCAACAGGATTTTTTTTGGAACCTGAAAAAAATAGTTCCAGGGTTCATCTGGAAGAGTAAATGTACATAAACAGCCAAAAAAAAAGCCTAAAAAAGAAATAGTAATGAGAGGAATACTTGTACCATCAGATAGTAAAGTGTGTCATAAAGCTAGAGCGATTTAAAGACTCTTGTCCTGTGATAGGACTAGACAGATCATGGAGTAGAATAGGTAGTCCAGGAGACTAATCAGGTATGTATGGTAAAGATAGCAGTTTATGATAAAGGGTAAAGGTAATAAATGGTTTTGGGAAAACTAGTTAGCTATATTGAAAAAAATAAATCTCCATCCCTGCCTTATTCTTCATATCAAAATAAATTCTGAATGATTAAAGTAGAAAGTCATAAAAGTAATAGATACATGGTTAAAGATTTTAAATTTGGACGTAGATAAACCTTTTCTTACCATGACACAAGACCTAGGAGCCATAAAGCACAAGATGGATAAATCGACCTATATAAAAATGAAAACTTTCAGTACAATAATAAGCAACTTAAAAAAAAACGAGATGGGCAAGTGTCGGCCACACGAGAACTGAGGAACAATTGATATCTGATATCCTTAACATCTAGTAAATAATTATTACATTCCAGTAAAGTAAAAAGACACCATGAAAAAGTTTCAAAGGGAAAATATTTACCACACATATAAATACAGGTAAATAAACACACACATAGTCTAACAAGAAAAGAAAAATGAAATGCCCTCATAGAAAAATGGGCAAAAAACAAAAACAAGGCAGTTCAAGAAAGAAGAAATAAAAATGACCAATAAACGAATGAAAACATATTTAATCTCACTAATAATCAATGGGGTGCAAATAAAAATGAGATTTTTAAATCTCTAAAATGTTAACAGTGAGTGTCGCTGTGTGTTGAAGTTTAGGATGAATTTTACTTCTTCATGTTTTCTTGTATTGTTTAAATTGTTTACAGTGAGCATGTACTTTTTTTTGTGAAAACAATGTTATCATTAAAGTTTAAAAAGAATTAAGAAAAAAAGAAATTTTTAAATTCAGTTATTTAATTTTAATTGTAATCGTGATCACAAATGTACCCATTTTGCTTTAAAATCAGTGGAATGGTTTTTTGTTTTGGTTTTTGTTTTCTACCTACGTGATTACAGTACAACCTACCTGTAGTCACATAGGTAGAAAATGGAAATATTAATGATTTACAGTGGAATTCTGAGTCAGGATGTTGTATTCTTGCCAATTTCCATTGCCGCTTGTACTGTTTATTTTTAGGAGAGACAGTTAAGGGAATTGTAAAGAAAATTGCCATGCTCTCACCTACGATCACTTATTTCCCTTGGTCTCTTTATTCTCTTGCTGGAGAAGTTTTATTGTTTTTCTTTTTTGCGGGGGAAGGGGAGTTTTTTTTTTATTATTTTGATTGTTCATTTAGAAATATTCCATTTGTCTCTTTCAGCGGACCCTTTTGAAACTATGTTAAAGTCATTATTGAGGTATCAGGCTGGTAGTGGGGGTGCAAGTGAAAACCACATGAGGAAAAAATTATATGAAAATGGTGTGACTAATTCTCTGCAGAGTAATTTTGCTGTCTTGCTAAAGGTAAGGTGGTAAGTAGTTTGGCCTCAAGTTCAACACAATAGAGATAATAGTATACTTTTTGACTTTTTGACTATTGACATATCCTGTCTTTGATGCTCTTTTTTTTTTTTAAGTTTTAAAAATATTTTATTTTAGATTTTAGGCGAAAGTTTACACAGCAAATTGGGTACCCATTTAACAATTTTTATACAAATTGTTCTGTGACATTAGTTAAAATTTTTATACGTGTCAGCATTGTCTTTATTTCTATTCTGTTCATTCTGTTTCCATTGAACTAGCTTCTCTGCCCCTCCTTGCCTTCTCATCTTTGCTTTTGGGTGAATGTTGACCATTTGGTCTGGTATAGTTGATTGTTTAAGGGAGCACGTTCCTCACAGGTGATATTATTTATTTTATAAGCCAGATTTAGCTGAAAGGAAACCTTTGGGAGTGGCTTCAGTTCCAAGTTCAAAGGGTAACTTAGGACGATAGTCTCAGGGGTTCCTCTAGTCTCTATCAGTCCAGTTAAGTCTAGTCTTTTTCAGAACTTTGAGTTTTGTTCTACATTTTTCTCCCGTTCTATCCGGGACCGTCTGTTGTGTTCTGCTCAGAACAGTCAGTAGTGGTAGCCAGGAAGCATCTACTTCTGGTCTCAGGTTAGAAGAGGCCGTGGTTTGTGTGGGCTGTTAGTCCTGTGGACTAGTTTCTTCTTTTAGTCTTTGGTTTCCTTCATTCTCTCTTGCTCCAGACAAGAAGAGAACAATGTTGTATCTTAGATGGGTACTCGCAAGCTTTTTGGACCCAGACACTACTCATTGATACTCTTTTCTTACCTGTCTCTGTAAGCTGACTTTTATTTTCCTGAAATTCTAAAACAAGAAAACAAACAAAAAACCCAGACAAACAAAAGCAAAACACACACACCCCAAAAAGAAAATGAAGCAAAAATCCTAAAACCTAGACTGTTGGAATGATGAGAATGGAGAGAGCCTGAAGATGTTTGCTCTATCAGTTGGTTTGTCATTTGTTTTCAGGCCAGACTTTAAGCCAATGTTTCCCACCTGAAATACACCCTGTTGTTAAAAATGCAGATTCCTGGGCCCTTACTCAAACTTACTGAAACAGAATCTCTGGGAGGGAGGACCTGACGTTTTAAAGAAGCTCCCCAAATGATTTACAAAGTTTGAGAACAAAACTAATCCATACCAGTTAGCCTCTTTTCCTTTTTGTCCTTAAAGATCCTTAGCTGAACCCTGTGTGCTATCTGACAGTTCTGTGTCCCCAAGGGAGTACTCCAAACCTTCAGCCTTATTCTAGTATTGCCAGTACTCCCCAAACCCTTTGCTTCCACGTACATGTTAATTTTTCAGGTTTCCTTCTGTTATTGACTTATAGTTTTATTCCATTGTGGTCAGAGAAGATACTTTGTATGATTTCAGTCTTCTTAAATTTATTGAGACTTCTGTGGCCTAAAATATGGTCTGTCCTGGATAATAATTCCATATTCTCTTGAGAAGAATGTGAATTCTGCTGATGGATGTTCTGTAGTTGTCTGTTCTAGTTGATTTATTAGTTACTCTGTTTCATATGGATCTTCTGTCTAATTTTTCTGTTTAATTAGTGAAAGTAGGGTATTATAATCTCCAGCTACTATTGGGAAAATGTTTGTTTCTCCCTTCCATTCTGTCAGTATTTGCTTCATATATTTTGAGGCTCTTCTTGAGTGTGTATATGTTTGTAATTGTTACATCTTCTTGATGGATTGAACCCTTTATCAATATACATAATGTCCTTCTTCGTCTCTTGTAACAATTTTTGACTTGTCTATTTTTCTAATATTAGTTTAGCCATTCCAGCTCTTTTTTGGTTACTGTTTGCATGTAATATCTGTTTCCAACCTTTTACTTTCAACCTGTTTGTGTCTTTGAATCAAAAGTGAGTCTCTTATAAGCAGTATGTGGTTGGATCATGTTTGGTTTTTTTTTTTTTTTAAATCCATTCTGTCTGTCTATGCCTTTTAATCGGAGAGTTTAATCCATTTACCTTTAATTACTAATAAGCAGATAAGGACTTCTGCTATTTTGCTGTTTGTTTTCTAGGTCTTGTATCTTTTTTGTTCCTCAGATCCTTATTACTGCTTTCTTTTGTTATTAATTGATTTTTTTTCTGGTGTTTTGTTTCCCTTTTCATTTCTTTTTCTGTAATTTTAAAATTTTTTCATAGTGATTACTTTGGATATTACAATCAACATTTTAACTTTATAACAATTAAGTTTGAATTAATACTAACTTAGTTTCAATAAAATACCTGAGCTCTGCTCCTTTATAGCTCCATCCCCCCTTTATGTTGTTATTGTCATAAGTTATATCTGTACACGTTGTCTGCCCATTAATATAACTTTATAATTTTTAAATGTGTTTTTCTTTTAGATCATACAGGGGGGAAAAAAAGAGAGAGAGAAAAGAGGATTTACAAATCAAATATGCAATACTACTGAACAGCTGCCTTTAGCATTTCTTGTAGGGCAGGTCTACTAGTGAGAAACTCCTTAGTTTTTATCTGGGAATGTCTTAATTTTTCCTTCATTTTTGAAGGGTAGTTTTACCAGATATGGACTTCTTGGTTGATAAGTTTTTTTTTTTTTTTTTTCTTATCAACTCTTTAAATATATCATCCCACTGCTACCGTGGCCAATATCCATGCTTTTAATTACTTTCAGCAGAAGCCACCTGGGAAGCTTCCTGTTTCTGTACATGGAGTTGAGACAGCTGAGAAGGTCACAAGTCACATATTTTTCCTAGAATTGTTTTGAGGCAAAAATTCCATGCTTATTAAGAAAAATAATATTTTCTGAAGCAAGCACACTTTGATATTTGGTAACATGAAACTAATTTTTCAAATATATTATTCTATTTTAACTGTTGTTTTTCTGTTTTCTTCATACTTTGCCCAAATCTCAGAATTGTTTTAAAAGTATATTCACTTGTTCAGTTTATTAATTTTGATACTTTGGAATCATTGAGGCCTCCCTTCCCTTTCTCCAAAAAAAGTTTTATATTCCATATACTTCACTTGAAGTTGGTGTAAACCTATGTAATGCTAACGCTTTTCATTTTGAATATTTATTTTACATTTTACAAAATTTAGTCCTTTGTACTGTGACAAGAAATTCACGAAGTTGATATGGGGAATAGTTTAAAATTGAGTTCCTGTCATGGGAGGGGCTTTATATATGTTACCTTACAAAATCCTTACACAATAGTTACGTGAGGTGGATATAATTATCCCTATCACAGCAGCCACGCGACGTAGCAGTTACCATTCCCATTTAACTGATGAGTCACCTGAACCTCTGAAACGTTAATAAGCAAATTTCCCAAAGTCACATTACTTCTAAGTGACAGAGCCAGAGATAAAACCAAGATTTTCTGATTTCAAAGCTTGTCATCTTTTTTATTTGACACTGCTTTTATTTCACAAGAGACTTAATAAATATTTGGGGAATGAAGGAATGACAAAGAGACTCTGAGAAGTTCCTGTTACTTGCTGAGTTTTTCTAAGATTTAGCCAGAGGAGACAGTAAATCATTGTGGTTCTCTGTTCTCTTTCAGCTTTCAGAAGAATTATTAGCTAAATGGCTCTCCTATCCAGAGTCCCAGCATGTTCCCCTCTGCCAGCATATGCTTGGTTTTGCTATGAAGTCTGTTACACAGATGGTAATGGGTAGTACCTTTGAAGATGACCAGGAAGTCATTCGCTTCCAGAAGAATCATGGCACGGTAAATCTAGGGATGAATTTAAAATTATTCTTTCCTCAAGTGGGGTAGTTGAATGATGCAGACTTTGTCTCTAAAGGAGAAAGTTTAAGATTCTGTGGTACAGGTAGTCCCCCGCTTACTTTTCATTATTATTGCCTTTTATTATCAGTATGTTTATATATCCAATCTTTATTTGTCTTTGGGGGTTGGAAACATTACATATAAACTTACAGATATATTTAATACATACTTGGCATATATATTACTAACAATAATATGTACCAAAAGACAGTGTAAGTACAGTTCATCATAACTTGAATATGTCATAAGTCAGGGACTACCCATATAGAAATTTCCATATTTTGTGCTGAAAAGAACAATGCAAGCAAAATTAATTATTGCCTTTTTAAAAAATTTAAGCAGTGACTTTTTTAAAGCAATTTTTGAAATGTAAAAAATGCATGACTGAATTTTTTTTTAATACTTAGCAAGTATGTTATAAAAATAATACTGATACTAAGAATTTTTCAAATATTTATCCATTGATTAATAAACTTTATTACTTTCACCATGATTAGGTTTTGTTTCAGAACTTGTGAATTATAATCAACTTAAAATTTTTTCCTCTGCTGCTTATCATCTCTAAACCTTAAACTAATTTTTAACCTTTTTCTGAATCTCAACCAATATTTATCAACATCTCAGGTAAAATAAAAATTTGGAATTATCTGTGAATTTTATTTATCCGCTGGTACCATTATAATAAAAAATTGATTATACTGCTGTATCCTCCCCTCCTTCCCATTCCTAGTCCCTTTAAATAAAAGCAGGTTTTAACTTTCCAGTTGTAATTAATTTGAAGGGTGCCTTGTTTGAAATCATTAAAATATATTTGTAGCCTATTCTGAGAGACTGTGGAGTAAATGATTGTGTCCAAAACACAAACCAAACCCACTGCCGTAAAGTCGATTCCGACTTATAGCGACCCTACAGGACAGAGTAGAACTGCCCCATAGGGTTCCCAAAGTTGTAAATCTTTATTGGAGCAGACTGGCACGGCACATCTTTCTCCTATGGAGTGGCTGGTGGATTCGAACTGCTGACCTTTCCGTTAGCGGCTGAGGGCTTACCCCGTGCACCACCAGGGCTCCAGTGATTGTGTAGCCCATTTAAAAAGGACAGATTAATTGTCAGATCTGTTGGTGAGAATGGAATTCTTCAGTTACTAGCCTAGATTAGTTTGTATTATTTAGAAAATCTAGCTAGTAAATATTTTCCTATTTTCAGGTTTGGTCTGAGATTGGAAAAGGCTTTCTAGATGGGTCGCTTGATAAAAGTACAACTCGGAAAAAACAATATGAAGATGGTATGTTTGGTCACTCTTAATTTTTACTAAGGACAAAGGTGTATATACCCAATTTTAACAGAGTTATCTCTGAATGGTGGGATTATAGGTTATTTATGTTTTTCCCCTATGTTTTATATGGTGTAAGTTTTTTTTTTTTCTAACTAGAGAGGAAAAAGCAATTGGCTAGTAAAAGAAACTCTAGCACTCACTGCAGAATGAGGGTGCTGTAAAGCCAGTACATCCTATAGGGCTTATGGAAAGTACAAAAGTACAAGGCTAAGAAAGCAATTTGACAGTACATTTTAAGAGCTGTAAGTAATGGATGAAATTATCTAAAAGAAGAAAGCGTTCATGAAAATAGTTTTTGTAATACTCTTTCTGCAAGTGAAAAACCAGAAGCAACCGAAATGTCCAACAGTATAAGAATTTGTTGAAAAATGAATGGTATTTTTCATGATATAAAATACAGATATTTTTAAAAATATAAAAATGTATAGAAATTGAGTAAAAAAAAAACCTTCAAAATTGTTTGATATTGATAACAACTTAATAAAATTTACACAGAAAAATGAAGTTTCCATTTAAGATAGCCTTCCAAAATTATTCTCCCTTGTTCTTTTTTTAGAAGTAAAGAGGGTAAATTTTAAATGTACAGACGGCCTTGTAATAATGGATTATTTTCATATATAATAGTATTGCTTCATAGTATTCTCTTCATTCATTTTTCAACAGATATTTATCGAGGCCTACTATGTGCCAGGCACTATTCTATGCATAGAAGATAAAAATTTTTGTGACTTTTTAGCAAACACTTGCAAGACGAAATCGGTCTTGCAGATTATGTGGATATTCAAATTTCCAGGGGAAGACTGTTCCAGGTAGAGGAAAAGTAATTGCAAAGTCTTTGAGGTGGTATTCTTCCTGATGTATTTGAGGTACAACAGGGAGGCCAGTATGGCTGGAGTGAAGTGAGTTAAAAAATAAAAGGAGGTGAGGTCTGGAGAGTTGGACAGAAGGACAGATTTTGTAAGGCTTATAGATTATTGTATGTCTAGGTTGTTACTACGAGATAGGATTCCACTGGAAGTTTTGAAGAGAGGAATGATATCCAAGTTAAACTTTACAACGATCACTTTGGTTGCCATGATAGACTAATAAGAGCCAACAGCAGAAGTAGGGAGAATAGGGGGATATTGCAGTGAACCAAGCAAGAGAGAGAATGTGGCCTAGATAAGGTGACAGGCAGCAGTGAAGGTGATGAAGATATCTACTGTATTTATTTAACCATTAAAAAAAAAAGTCTTTTATTCCCAAGCTGGCATTGGAATCTCAGCAAACACTTTCTTCTTTTCTACATCTTCACACTGATCCTTTCTTTTCTTTTTTAACAACTTTATTGAGGTATAATTCACATGTCATACAGTTCACCCATTTAAAGTGTACAGTTCAGTGGCTTTTAGTATATTCACAGATATGTGCAGCCCTCACCACAGTCAATTTTAGAACATTTCTTCACCTCAAGAAGAAATCCCATATCCTTTAGCTATCACACCTCTAGTCCCACCACCCCTCCCCGCTGCCAATCCTCAGCAACTACTAGATTTACCAATTCTGTACTTTCATATGAATGGAATCATTATAGTATGTGATCTTTTGTGACTGGCTTCTTTCACGTAGCATACAGTTTTCAAGGTTCGTCCATGATGTAGAATATACTTCATTCCTTTTTATGGCTGAATCATATTCTTTTGCATGGATATACCACATTTTGTTTATCCATTTGTCTATTGATGGACATTTGGATTGTTCCTACCTTTTGGCTATTATGAATAATACTGCTATAAACATTCATTTACAATTTTCTATGTGGACATATGTTTTCATTTCTTCTGGGTACATACCTAGGAGTGGAACTGCTGGATCATAGTTCTACTCTGCATTCATGGGGTTGCCATGAGTTGGAAGTGACTCGATGGCAGGTAACAGTAACAACAACATGGTATGTTTAATCATCTGAAGAACTGCCAGACTGTTTTCCAAAGTGGCTGGACCATTTTACTTACCCACCAGCAGTGTATGAGGGCTTTGATTTCTTCACAGCCTCCCCAACACCATATCTGACTCTTGATTCTAGCCATCCTGCTGGGTGTGAAGCGGTATCTCATTGTGGTTTGATTTGCATTTCTCTAGTGACTAATGATGTAGAGCATCTTTTCGTGTGGTTATTGGCCATTTGCATTTTTTTTGTCTATTCAAGTTCTTTGCCTATTTTTTAAATAAGGCAGTTGAGTTTTTATTGTTGAGTTGTAAGAGTTGTTTATGTATCTTGGATACAAGTCTCTTGTCAGATATGTGATTTCTAAATATTTTCTCTCATTCTTTGATTATCTTTTCATTTTCTTGATGGTGTCCTTTGGTGCACAAAAGTTTTAAATTTTGATGAAGTCCGATTTATCTACTGTATTTTGAAGATAGAACCACCAACATTGGCTGGCAGACTAGATGCAGGGTGAGAGGGAGAAAGAGAGGGAGACACCACCAAGTACTTGGGCCTGAGTATCTAAAAATAAGGTTATGGAAATAAGATGGGGAAACTGGGGAAATATCCAGTGTGAGGGGACAAAAGATCAGGAGTTCCGTTTTGGGTATGTTATGTTTAATATGCTTCATATACTCAAGTGGGGAGATGCTGAGTTGGTTTTTAGATATATGAGAGTTCAGGGGAGAGAGGTCCTGACTGGAAATACGAATTTGGGAGTTATTTCTACATCTGTTTCTACTTCTAAATGAGTGAGACATGATCTGGGGAAAGAATGGAATTAAGAGGACAGAATTTAGAAAGAAGATGCATAATATCAAGGGAGTGGGGGCATATGTATGTGGAGGCTTCTTGGATGCAGGTGTTGTTCAACTTCTTGCCCTAGGTGGTGGTGATGTGGATGTTTGCTTTATAATCATCCATTCCTTAAACCGTACATATATGTTTGCCATAATTTTTTTTGTTTTTTTTTTGTATGTATGCTATATTTAACAAAAACAAGGAAGAAAAAGTAGATGAGTTTAAACAAATTAGCTCTCTTTATTGTTAGTAACTACTCTTTTACCTTTGGAAATTTTATTCTGCATATAGTAAAATTGTATGGAATTATTTTTTAAAAAAAAGTTCAACCTTCACAAATGTTTATATTCTAAAATCTTTTTTTTTTTTTTTCCCTAAGCCCTTATGCAACTGGAATCTATTTTAAAGAAAATCATAAAAGAACGAAAAGGGAGGAACTTCAGTCAGCATATTTTCATTGACTCCTTAGTACAGGGGAACCTTAATGACCAGCAGGTAATGCAATTGTTAAATGTTTATCAAATAAAAAATAATCAAACTTTAATCCAGATGCCCTCCTAAAATTCAATGGCTCTGTTCTCTTTTATTATACATCTTAAGTGGTACAAGTAGTTAGTGTCCTTTTATTTAGCTCTCTGACACAGCTCTGTATTAATCAATATTTGAATACACAAATATTGAGCCAAAATTCCATGATCATAAAAGAGAAGGAAGACTTGTGTAAGCCTTTATATACTAAACCTGCTCTGCCTACATGGCCAGGTGTGGTAGGTTGGCTTCTTCACAGTGTATGTCTGTCACCCTAGCCTACCACTGCGTTTATGGTGTTGCCAGGCAAAGGACAGAAGTGGAGCCATTGTTGCCACAATTATTCATTATAGAAATTTTTTGCTCTACCCTACAAATGCAACTCAACTTTTAGTTCCTGGCAGACAGAAGTGTTTGTGTGTGTGTGTGTGTATTCACGTGTGCACGCAAAAATGGAATCAGGCTCCAAGGAGAGTGGCAGCCTCTTCTCCACTGTTCCTGAGGCTTTGTTGGTGCATCAGGCCAAGCCAGAAAGATGGACTGAGACAGTTTGTTTGTCAGAGTGCATCGTGAGCAAATAAAACCATCAACAAGTACTTACTGCATCAAAAAGCAATGCGATGTTTACTTTGGTTTTCACATACAGATTTTGTTTTAATGAAAACATTGTAAAGAAATAGGATACTTTTTTCTTTCCTTGACCTTAATTTTATACTCTAGGTTATTTTATAGGGCCTAATATAGGCCACTTTACATTTCACACTTTCTAAATTTAGTTTTGTTTCCTAGATCCTAGAAGACAGTATGATATTTTCTCTGGCTGGTTGCATAATAACTGCAAATTGTAAGTACAAATTGATTTCTTTTTAGATGGATTATAAAATATGTAAAGGTAAAGCTATTCTAAATGAAGGAAACACTGTTTGCAGGACCTTATATAAAAATTTCCCTTTCCTCCTCTTTTTTATTCTTGTTTAAAACGCTTGATTCACATAGTATCTTTTTTTTACTCCAGGTTCCCTATGCCACCTCTGAACATTGCCATAAATTTCTTGACACAGCTTTATGGATTGTGAATTCTAGTTAGTGCCTTTAAAATGAACTGCTATTGACACCTTTCCAGTTGGAGCAGTGAGCTTTTCAATTTCCTGCTGCTGCTTTTCACTTTGACTCCAATCCAGTCTGCTATTATTAAGTTCTACCAACGGGAAATATAGGCCACAGAAATCATGATTTAAAAGAACCCCTCTGTTGGTGGAATTGAAGGTGATTTTTTAAAAAATTCTAAAATACATGTTTCTAAGTTTCCTCACAGGTCTTTAGTATATATAAAAATTTGTATATAGACATAAAATACACTAATATAAAATGCTTAAAGGAAATATTAAAATATCTGTTTAAAATCTAGACAATTTATATTCACCTGAAGGATTTCATTCCCAGGTCTTTCTGTTTAAGGAAAATTTCCAAAAAATGATGAGTACAAGTGAAAACTTCCCATAAATTTTTCCTCTTTGTAAAATTTTTGACATCTCGAGATCTCTAGATATTATAGATTAAATGGAATTTAGGTAAGCCTGTGTCAAAAGTAACATACTTAATTAACCTTTTAAAAAATGTTTTAAAAATTCATTACATTAAAAATATGCCTTTGCTAAAGTCTTTCAAAAAGTCTGAATTGGTTGTGCTCTGGACACCACAAAAAGTGACTATTCCCAAGGTTGAGTTAATATTTTAATCCTATTTGCAGCTTTGGGAAGGGGGTGGGGAATTTTTAGAGTATTACTGTTTCTTTGCATGTGGGTTGGATATTTTTTAAAGGCGTCTCTGAAGTTTTGGAGAGACAGGATAGGCAGGAAACTTAATTAAAGCCCCTCCTCTGCCACTTAGTAGCCTTGGGCAAGATACTTACCTCTGTAATTTCTCCTGTTCTAAAATGAAGGTTTGGCTCTAAATGACCTCCAAAGTGTCTTCTAATTATGAAATTGTGTCTTGTTCATTACTGTATTTAAAGAACCTTAACTGGCTAAAAACATTTTTAAGCTCTCCAGACTACTTCTTAATCGAGTTGTACAAAAGAACCAATGTTTGAGATGATTAAGCTTAAACAATTATTTTAATTTTAATTTTAAGTGATAATGTAGTTAGGGCATATGAGTGCCTACTGTATGCAAATCCTTGTTCTAAATCCTTCAATATACTTATTATTGTAAAATTGTACTACATATACGTATTGTATACTGTATACACAAGTTTTCACATCATTTGTGAAATAGAAATTCTATAGGCTGCTCAAAAAACATAATAAAGAAGCATATACAGTGTAAAGTTAAGGACAGGCAATCACCCGTGTGCCTTTTCTAAGCTCTGGGTTGGGTAATTATCAAAATAATTGAGTACCACCAGGTAAATATTGATTTTACTGATTATAATATTTAGTGCAGAAAGTATATACGGTATCTTTTCTGGGCATAGGAACTGGATCCTAGGTGAATCAGGCAAAAGTTTAAAAAAATTAACTTTGAGACAAATTCAAATCAGCCGTTAGCCCAAGAAAGAGGTTGAAAATACTATGAGCATATTAAAAATTTTCTGACATGAAAAAGGTAGAGCTGTAGGTAGTGTCAGCTCAAGCAGAGGGTAGGCAAAGAGGTAGTATATTTCCAGATGGTTCCATTCTTTAATGAGCTGTAATTACAGGGTGTTCCTGAAGGAAATATCACTACTCTATTTCCTCTATTATATGTTCGCCATGTAATTTTCTTACCTTTATTTTCATTTCCTCAGTGAATATAAACCATAAACCACTTTAAGCAAAAGTAAGCCATAAACCAATGGTTTTCCAGTTTTGGTGTTAACAAAATAATTGTGGTGTTTGTTAAAACTACAGCTGTCTAGACTCCACCCCAAACCTAATGATTCAGAATCTGTGGGTGTGGAGCCATGACATCACAAAACTCCCCAGATGATTTTGAGAACCTCTGTCCTAAGCAATAATGAATCACAGTTTCTAGAGCCAGTATATCTGCTATTATAAGGAAAAATTTAGAATACTGGTTTATAGATAGATCTACTGGTTCGATTTGTATGAATCATTTCATTAGGGCTTCTGAGTGAACTGATAAATTAGTTTTTAGATTTTACAAGGTTGAGTGAACCAGATAGTCCATCACAGTCATCAACATTGAACACTCCCCAGATACTAAATTTTATTATCATTACTGTTTTACCTAAGGTAAAATGCGTTATGTAGCTTCAGTTACTTGCCAGTTTTAAGAAAGCGAGCTTTCAGATTGTAGTATCTCTTTTTTATTGTTTTCTGTAAACATTCATATTCTGTTTAATGAAGTACAAATCCATTAAAGAACTTTGTTTTATTTTTTGGTGTGTATTTTCTGCATGAGAAAAAGAAAGGAAAAAAAAGCATTAAAAATTTTTTTCTTATTTTGCTTCCAAACCATTAGTTAGCTATTTTCATTTCTGTTAATATGATTTTTCATCTAGTATGCACGTGGGCAATCTGTTTTTTAACCACCTCTGAAGAAGTTCAGAAAAAATTATATGAAGAGTTAGACGAGGTTTTTGGGAAGAGTCCTATTACTCCAGAGAAAATTGAGCAGCTCAGGTAAGAGCAATAAAAGGAAGAGGAAATTAATAAAAGATTAATCGATAATCTAATTTTCTTTTTAAAATTACAAGGTACAATACCTTCTGTGAAACCTTTAAACTAGCCTGTATAAAATAGAGTGAGTGATGTGGAACTCTTATACATTGTTGGTGGGAATGCAAAATGGTACAGCCACCTTGGAAAACAGTATGGCAGTAACTTATAGTTAAACATACACTCACCACATGATCTGGCAGTTCCGTTCCTAGGTATTTACCCAAGAGAAATGAAAACATGTCCATACAAAGACATGTATGTAAATGTTCATAACAGCATTATTCAGAAAATCGAAAAACTGGAATGAAATCAAATGTTCATCAAGTGATGAATGGATATACAAATTGTGATATATCCATACTATGGAATGTTACTAAGTAATAAAAAAGAACACAGTAAAATTCTAGAAAATACAAAACTATAGTGATGGAAAGCAGATCACTGGTTCTCTGGGGGCAGGAATGAAGACAGACAGTGCTTGTGTGTGATTACACAATTGTATACAATTACTAAGATTCATCAAACTGTATAGGTAAAATAGATGATTTTTTTTATACGTAGGTAATTCTTCATTAAAAAAAAATTTCAAAAACAGCCGCTGTGACTGCTCAGGGGTTGGAAGTCTAAGAGACTGGGTAGCAAGGAACCCTACCTTAAAGCATATTTCAACTATAGAAAAGAAGATAGAGGTACAGCCATTGGAAAGAACGAGAAGCTGTGGGCTTCCCAGGGAGGCTTCTGTTACAGATTGTTTAAAATGTTGGAAGTTTTATTTATGACATTGAGTATAACTATTTTTTATTGTAAAAGTAATACATACTTGTCTTTTAAAATTTTAATAAAACAAAAATATTTCTGTAGTCAGATTATTTGTGTTCTTTACAGTTTCTGTCATTGTGTCATGCTAAAATTAAAGGACTTTTCTACTCAAAAAAATACTGTTCTAAATTTTCTTCTGGTACTTTTGCAAGTATTTTTATTTGCTTAAATCTTTATCCATGTGGAATTTATATACCATAGGATCGCTGTGAGTTGGAATTGACTCGATAGCAATGGGGTAATATAAAACTTAGATCTTTAAACAAACAAGAATTATGGTAATATTTCAAATTAAGCAGGTTATAGAAGTTGTTGAATGACCTTTTTATTTATTTTTTTAAATTTTTTCCTGTACAAAAATTTATACATACACTGTTATGTGACTCTAATTGCTCTCCCCATACTGCGACAGCACACTCCTCCTTTCCACCCCTGATTCCCCATGTTCATTCAACCAGCCCCTGACCCTCTCTGCCTTCTCATCTCACCTCTGGACAGAAGCTGCCCATTCAGTCTCTCGTATCTGCTTGAGCTAAGAGGCACACTCCTCACGAGTATCACTTTATGTCCCACAGTGCAGTCCAATCCCTGTCTGAAGAGTTGGCCTCAGAAATTGTTTTAGTTCTGGGCTGAGAGAGAATCCAGGGGCCATGCTTTCTGGGGCACCTCCAGTCTCAGTCAGACCATTAAGTCTGGTCTTCTTACTAGAATTTGAGTTCTGCATCCCACCTTTCTCCTGCTCCATCAGGAACTTTCTGTTGTGTTCCCTATCAGGGCGGTCATTGGTGGTAGCTGGGCACCATCTAGTTCTTCTGGTCTCAGGCTGATGAAGTCTCTGGTTTATGTGGCCCTTTCATCTCTTGGGCTAATACTTTCCTTGTGTCTTTGGTGTTCTTCATTCTCCTTTACTCCAGGTGGTTGGGACCAATTGATGCATCTTAGATGGCCGCTTGCAAGCTTTTAAGACCCTAGATGCCATTCATCAAAGTAGGATGCAGAACATTTTCTTAATAAGCTTTGTTATGCCAGTTGACCTAGATGTCCTTGAAAGCATCCTCCCCAGACCCCTGCCCCTGCTACTCTGTCCCTCGAAGTGTTTGGTTGTGTTCAGGAAGCTTCTTAGCTTTGGTTTAGTCCAGTTGTGCCAACTTCCCCTGTAGTGTGTGCTGTGAATGACATTTTTAAATTGTACATACATTTCCAACTCTCTCTCCCAAAATACACATTTTCAAAGATTTTTTTTTTTTTAACAGATACTGTCGTCAAGTGCTTTGTGAAACTGTTCGGACTGCCAAACTGACACCAATATCTGCCCGTCTTCAAGATATTGAAGGAAAAGTTGACCAATTTATTATTCCTAGAGAGGTAGAAAACATTTCATATATGTAACTCATTCAGTTATTCTTCTCAACTCTTTGTGTGTGTTTTCAAATTTTATTGTTTAAAGCACCCAATAAATGTTACCTATTCCTAAATCAAAGATAGTCATTTTAAATTACAAAATAATGCATGCTTATTTTAAAGTTAAAACAGGATAAAAGAAAGTCTCCCCTCCCTAGTGTGTTAATGCACACTGTTAACAGTTTAGTGAGTATTTTTGTAGACCTTTTTCTGTGTATGTATATTAGTGTGTGTATGTGTATACATATATGGATATATTTTAAAAACTAAAGGTTACTCTTTATATAATATTATTTTTCTTTTTTTTATTCAGTATGTCATGGTTATTAGTACAACTGTTAGCTGATACAGATCTGACTCATTATTTTTAATGGTTGCATAGTATTCCATTGTGTGAATATACCATGATTTATTTAAGCCATTTCATTGATGGTAATTTAGATTGACATTTTTTTTTTAGTACTATAAATTATATATTGAGATATTGGATAGAGTATAAGAAATGGAGTTTTTGGGTCAAAGTGCATATGTATATTAAATTTAAATTGCTGTCCAAAAAGCAACTTATACTTTTGGCAACAATGTATGAGAATACCTTTTCCCTCTAAATCCTCATCTCTGGATTTCTGAATCTTTTACATATTTTGTGAGTCTTGTGGGAAAAAATTGCTATCTCATTGTTTTAATTTGCTGTTCCTTGATCATTGGAGAGATTGAGCAACTTTTTATACTTATTAAAAGTTTTTTATTTCTTCTTTTGTGAATTATCTAATTGTATCTTTCACTCTTCTTGCTAGTGAGCTTATATGTCTTTTTGTATGTTAGAGGTATTAACTACATCAGTCATGGCAAATATGTTTTCCCTATCTACGATTTGTCTTTTACCGTTGCTTATGGTGTTATGTTTTCGTTTTTTTTTACTTGATGTAGGTTTTAAATTTTCACATAATTAAGTCTGTTATTCCTTTATAGTTTCCATATTTTGTAGACCTTTCATCAGCAAAATGATGGCTAATGTTTTCTTCTATTATTTTATATTTTCATTTCATATTCATTATTTTAAAGGAGCATTTAGAATGAGTTGGCTTCCTGGGAGTCATTTTGTCCTTTTTTGGCCTTGGCCAACTAGACTGATTTATTGATTTATTGATTTATTGATTTATTTATTTATTTATTTATTTTGCAGACCCTTGTCCTTTATGCCCTTGGTGTGGTACTTCAGGATCCCAGTACTTGGCCATCACCACATAAGTATGAAATATCTATCATTGGCCTTGTGATGTTGACTTTTATCTCTTTGTATGTCTTGTATTTCTTTTCTAAGTTTTGAGGAGAAAATTAAATATGAGACAGTTACAGAGTAAAAGAAGCTACTGTCTTCCCTTTATATCTTCTGGTCACTACCTTTTCTCTTCCATGAATATGCTATCTATTACACTTTGTCTCTTCTACTATCACTTCTATCCTAAGATTTGTTGTTTAATTACCTGATCTCAACAACTGTCCTTTAATTTCAGTGGAATTTTGGGTATTGCTCATGCAGTTTCTCTTTCTCCTTCTGTTGGTCTCTATCGTCTACTATTCAGCTGTTCGGCAGAATTCTGAAAATAGGTGTCCCATGAACCCCTCAATGATGAAAATTTTAGTAATTAAGTTGGGTAAACACTACATAAACCATATCCTCCTCTTGTGTGTTCATAGTGCTCATTAGCATATTGAAGGCTCTTGATTACTTTGGTGACCCTCAGACATACTTGACCAATAGTAACAGCTATTGATAGAACTATGTTCTGTGGATCACAGTGTGGTTAGTATTAGACAATGGAGTCCCTGGGTGGTGCAGATGGTTAAGCACTGGGCTACTGGCTGAAAGGATGGTGGTTTGAACCCACCCAGAGGCACTTCGGAAGACAGGCCTGTTGATCCGCTTAGGAAAGGTCACAGCCTTGAAAACCCTATGGAGAAGTTCTACTCTCTACACATGGGGTTGCCATGAGTTGGAATCAAATCAACAGCAACTAACAACTTAGACAATGTGGAGTCATTGAAGGGCTTTAAGTAGGTGAGAGATAAGTTCAAATTTAGCTTTCAGAAAAATACATCCTTCTTATGATTTAGTCTGAAGAATAGTTTGAAAGAGGCAAAGATGAAGACAGGATTTTACAAGAAAAGCTGTTTTTGTGTACTTGTTCTTTAAAATGAATAAATGAAGGCAGGAATATAGGCTTAGAGGCTGGATATTTTTACATAAAGGATGATGAAAGCCTGCCTTAAGACAGTGATGATAGCTCTGGAAAGCAAGGAGGATGAATTTAGGATGAAGTGAATTGGATTTGTGTGGAAAGGAGATGGAGGAGACTATGATGACTTCCAGTTTTCTAACTTCAGGGAGTAGGTGAGGAAGACGAGTAAGGGGCCCAAGAGTAGTAGATTTGGGAGGGAAGATAAAAGTTTGCATGTATTGAGTCAGAAACATTTAGGTAGAGATGTTAGCTCTCTCTTTAGGTTACAAATGTTAGGTAGGCTGTTAGATATATGAATCTGGAGTTTAGGGGAAGAGTTTGTTGGCAAGAAGTTCACAATTAATTTAAATCCTTGATGACAGAATTCTTGATGACAGCTTCCTCCAACGATGACATCTTAGCTGTAGTATAATACCAACAGCAAGAAATTGATATTTGTATATTACTATTAACTAGACTCTAGACTTTACTCAGTTTTCACCATTTTTTTTAACCTGCTTTTATTTGTACATATGTGGCTATGCAATTCTATTCTATGTATAGATTGGTATAACTACTATCACAGTCAAATACAGAACTGTTTGATCGCCACAAAGAATTCCCTCGTATTACCTCTGTATTCACATCTACCTCCTACCCATAATTGCCCCACCTCTCCCTCTTTCCTTGTCCCCTGGCAACAATGAATCTGTTCTCTTCATTATTGAGGTGGTCTTTTTTCACTAAACTTAATGCCTTTGACGTCCATCTAGGTTGTTGCATGTCTCAATAATAGTTCGTTCGTTTTTATGTCTGAATAATAATACTCCATTATATGGATGTACCAGAGTTTGTTCAACCATCCTCCCATTGAAGAATGTTTGAGTTGTTCCCAGTATTTTGCTATTGTGAATGGAGCTGTTATGAACATTTGTGCAGAGGTTTTTGTGTGAACATAAGGTTTCATTTCTTTGGCATAAATGCCCAAGAGTGTGGTCGCTGGGTTGTATGGTAAGTACATGTTTAGTTTTTGTAAGACACTGTTTTCCAGGGTGGCTGTACCATTTTATGTTCCCATCAGCAATGTATAAGAGATTCATTTTCTCTGCATCCTCAGCAGCATTTGACATTACCACTAATATTGATTTTAACTGTTCTAATAGGTATGTAGTGATACCTTATTTTGGTTTTAATAAGTTCTCTTTTTGAGTAAATAATTGACATGAACTTATTCTTCCTATAAAAAAAAGTCTAGGTGTGATTTATATGTTTAAAAAAATGCATAAAAATGCATTAATGCTGGTACCATATTGTCAGTGTTTGAGAGCAAGGAACCTTGGATCAAATTCTGTGACTTAAATGAGTAATAATGTAAATATTATTCTGTACTAAATGATGAGATATTACTAACTTTAAAAATCAGGCTAAAATAAAACACTCAGCTCTGAAAAGAATGAAGGCAAAGATTTAAAAAAAAAAAAAACCTCAGTATGTGAGATTAAATTACTTTTTTTTTTAATTGTGATTTAAGTGAAAGTTTACAGAGCATATTAGTTTCTCATTAAACAGTTAATACACAAATTGTATTGTGACGTTGGTTGCCAACCCCCGATTTGTCAATACTCTCCCCTTCTCCACCCCAGGTTCCCTGTTTGCATTTGTCTAGTTTTCCTGTCTTGTCTTTGCTTTTGGGCTAGTATGCCCATTAGTCTCATACATATGATTGAACTATAAAGCATGTCCCTCACGTGTGTTATTGTAAATTCTCTCTTTGTTTTTCATTTTGATTTTTAATATAATGCTTTAAAATACAAGATATTTTAAAAAAATAATTTGAAAAATCAAGTTTGATTCTCTTTTAATCTGAAAATACATAGATACTGTCAGATAACATTTTGAGTATCAAATTTCAAGAGTTAGAAAAGGAAAAACTGATTAAATTTTATATAATTTTTGTGTGTACATTATATACTCCAAAAGTGAAAGATAATTCAAGTTTTCTGTTTTTAGAAAATAAAAAGAATTCCTCTTTTTTAAAAAAATTGCTCATAGAAGAATTTATCTCTTTTACAAACATTTATTTTTGAGAGGAATGTTTATGCTTCATGGTGGGTGGGTTATTTGTTTTGTTTTTAATGTATCTATTCTCCCACTGACTTTTAATAGAGTGAAATTCTGTAGAATTAAAAAAAAAAAAAATTTTCCTAGTCTCTTCAGTTTTCTTATGTTAATAAATTTGGTTGTATTATAATTGATAAATATAATTTTGAGGCTGGAGCCTCCAATTTTAAGAAATAAATTTTCATCAAAAAGCCTATGTAAAATGCCTCACATATTGATCAGATGGTCTCCTGTAACAGGTATTGTAAACACTTTTTTTTATCCAAAGTATTAGTGTACATTTTTGTTTTCTGGAACCAGTTAAAATGGTGCCTTCTGAATTAACCTGGACTGTAAGACAGAGTCCTCCCTGGCACAACACTTGGGGCCTTCACTGTCTGCCCCAAGCCGCTGCCGCCTTTTTTTTTTTTTTTTTTATTGTTGTGAAAAATATAGCTAACACATTTGTCAGTTCAACTTTTGTCATTGTACAATTCATTGAAACCAATTACATCAATCATGTTATACAGCCATCACCAATACCCACTGCTATACACTCTTAAATGCTCAAAAAATATTCATTAGGTGATTTTGTATGATTTACCCTTACATCATAAAATAATATAAATCTGTGTTACAATCTCATTTCTTGTTGATTTCAGAGAAATATATTTTGCATCTATTGTTTAGAAATAATGTAATTTAGGAACGTAATAATAGGTGACATTTAAATATAATGTGACAGCACTTTCTATTTTCAGTAGCTTTTAAGCTTTATTACATTCTTGTGTTCTCGGACACGTCAATATGTAAAATGTCAGTGGAGCTATGTGGTGACTAACTCCAAATCTTTTTAGGTTTGATCCAGACCGGTTTGATGATGAATCGGTAATGAAAACATTCTCTTTGCTTGGATTCTCAGGCACACAGGAATGCCCAGAATTGAGGTGAGATGATAGAGAAAGTAATGTCAAAGGAAGAGATGCCAGACTCTGTACTTATAATTTTGATGATCACTGTTGATGAGAATGATCCATATGTATAATTATTATTCCTATTATTGGCAGAATATCTTTAGTAACTAGTTGACTTTCTTCCTGACTAGGTTTGCATATATGGTGACTACAGTACTTCTGAGTGTATTGTTAAGGAGACTGCACCTACATTCTGTGGAGGGACAAGTTATTGAAACAAAGTATGAACTGGTAACAACGTCAAGGGAAGAAGCTTGGATCACTGTCTCAAAGAGATATTAAAATCTTATACATTTAACCTTGTTACATGGACTGAGGAAACTAACCATTTAGAAGATCTTCCAGTGAATCCTTTTATAAGTCAAGTATTATTTTGCAGTATAAACGACTATTAGTATTTTATTATGTAAATTTGTATTTGTACATGTCAGATTTTCTTAAAGCAGTATATACATCTATACTTATTGCACCAATATATTGATAATTTTAATGGGACACTGTAGCTTTCTGCTTTTGAATTTTGTTTCTTTTTACTTCTTATGCCATTATTTTTGTATTCTTTTTCTTAGTTTGATCTCTAAAATTAATATTCTTGAAAAAAAATTATAAGAAGTTTTGGAATCATGTCTTCTGAATATTCATAAAATAGAAACAGTCGTAAATCCTTTTCATACTTACAATAAATCAACTTAAAGGGAAAGAAAAAAGACTTCCCATAATTTCTATTTCTTGGATTAAATATTTTTATTTTCTGGCTATTCTGGCTATAAATTAGTTTGTGTTTTAATCATTTCTATTCATTTTGAATAATTTATTGAGAATTCTACCTTATATTTGCTTTTTTTGCCTGCCCAGACAACAGTATTCGTTTTCATTTCATGACTTGCACTGTTCATTTTGTACAGTTCTGAATCACTTGGAAAATAATAGCTGTTTCTAAATGTTTAGAAGTGCCGCTCCTAAATGACAAACTAGGATTGATGCTTGTTCTTCCATTTTGCTGGAAACTTTAGCAGCACCATATTACTCAACTAATTCTCATTTGTAGGGAAAGGGAATTCCTAAATTTGTTATTTATTATGTCATGTGTTAAATATAATGAACATGTGATTGAGAAATGAGGGAGCACTAACCAAAAACAAAAATAAATGAAAAAGAAAATAGAGATGGATGAAAATATTTGCAAAATATATGACAGAGAGGAATAATATCCACATTGCATAAAGAGCTCATACAAACTGAGAAAACATCCAACAGATACATACATAGCTAAAGACATGAACAGACAGCTTTTACAGGCGGAAACAACTAATAAATTTTAGAAAAATGTTCATTCTCACTTGTAAGTAAAGAAATATGAGAGCTACTTCAAGAATATTTTAAGTAGTACAAATAAGCAGTGGTAAATTTTATATTTAATACTTTATTGATATTATTATACCTTGGTCTAGTTTTTTGATCACACTGTGAAGAATTTTTTTTTTTAAATATATTTTTGTTTAAGACAACAACTGAAGGACGTATGCCAAGTGCAGATAGAAAGGAAAGGAAGTAGAATGATAATTGCTTGCAAGTTAGTTTATTTTTAACACTGCTGAATTTCATTTGTAGTTTCAACAATGTACTCGAGTTATTAATTGAATTATTTTATGTTGTGTTTATGGCTAAATAGCTAACACTTTAGGCCTAGTTCTGACTAGTCAACATAGAATTTGATTAGATGCAGTGGTCATTTCTGGAAAAAAAATTAATTTCTGGAATAATTTAATTTCCAAAGCTTTAAGTGAAATCTATTCTTAGTTACTATCACCATGTTGTTTCTAACATGGCACATTCATCAGTTTATCTTCCTCTCACCTATCATTTTCTATGGTTTTGTGTATATAGAACATCTTCCTTTGTTATACAAGCACCATAAGTGGGTTGGAAATTGGCAGTGGAAGGTTAGAGTAGGCAATTTCTAGGTAAAACAAGTGCCAGTGAGATCAGATGAAATGAGAGAAGTGGAATTTGAAAGCGAGGGAGAGCTGATGAGCCATGATCAAGGCAAAAACAAGGCAGCTGAGCCAGAATCCAGGCGTTCGCATAATTGCCAATAAATGTGGCAGTGTATAATTACTAATAAAGACCAGAGTCAAGGAAAATAGGGCATAGAGGAATCAGCTAAATAAGCATATTTTACCCATAGTTACACTACTAGCTTAAAGCATTAAAAACAAATCATATTCTAGAGAATTTTGTCAGAAGTACTGTTATGAACAAAATAAGTTACCATTCACTGTTCTATTTATCTAATGACTGAAAAGTAGCCTCACTGTCACTGATGGCTCATAGCGTGACTCAGGTGGGTTTTTAATTGATATTGAAGTGAATAAGTTTTATAGCTTTTTAAAAATTGATTTCTTCACTGATTTTGATCTGCATTCTTTTTAATAGTTCAGAAATTTATTGTTAAAAACAGCAGCACAGAGCATTTTTATGGAATGAAAGGGCTCTCTTATACTTTGTTCTAATCAAATTTAAGGCAGAATTAATTCTGTATGAGTTTGGGAAAAATGAAAAATTCATATGCTGTTTATTTGGCACACAACTGTGCAGTTCTATCATGTTATATAAATAGATTCTATCATTTACAGACTCAAAATTTATTCTTTATCTTAAAGTAGTTCTTTTTTAAAAACAAAACTCTACTTTTTTATTATGAAAATAAGATTTGTTGTAGAAAATCATAGAGATTTATTGTAGAAAATCTAGAGAACACAAAAATGGCAAACTCAGTCACCTACAGTCTCACTAGTTGAGAGTAGATCTTTCTACTCTTTTCTTCACATATATAATTTTTTTACAGACATTATACATAATTTTTTTTCTTTAATATATCATGAACCAATAGTCTTTTCTACAAATGGAACATTAATATTCTTCTCACACAGAATATAAGCATAGATTTTTGTCATTCTTTTTCTCTCCTTCTTTCCCTTCTCAGATATTCTTGTTATTCTTTTCAACTTTAAAATCGGCTTCTCCATCCATTCTGCTGAAACAGTTACATATTTGTACATCTAAGTCGACAACAACAGGTTTGGGGTTTTTTTTGGTTTTAAATTGCCAAAGCCATACAACAATTTAGGCATTACAGTGAGCATTTAAAAATGAAATTATTTCACTATTTTAAGAAAAATCTTCTTTTTTCTTAGTCTTTTTCTTCAAATTGAGATGTAGTTTTGACTCTTAAGAATCTCTGTTGTTGAAAATTTCTAGTGGTGGTGTTTGTGGACTCTGGGGCAAACAAATTAAGATTCTTTCCTGAAGCCATCTTTTTTTATTCCCCCAATCCATAAAAAGCACTGTTAACCTATAAAATGTACTTTTTTCACGTGGTTATCAGATTGGAAATTGCTTAAAAAGCCCAATTCTACTGAGTGTGTAAAGCTGAGGACATGACCAGTACCATCAAGGAGTAGTTTAGTAGCTGCAAAAAGATAGCCAGGAGAGGAATGGACACCATTTTCAAGGGCAGATTTTTTAAATGTCAACAAATTGATACTAGTGACCTCATTTTTCTTCTTAGCTAGTGCTATGCCTGTTTTCTAAGTAACCAAAGACCAATGATTAAGGTAGGAGAGGAGCTGGGAGGAAGATAATGATAACAAAGCAATCACTGTTAAACTACAGAAGTCAGGAAATCAGCACAGCCAAAAAGACTTAGTACAAGTGGCTTTGAGCTGTTTTCAGTGACCTACAGGGATAAAAAACAGTGAGAATGAAACTCGCAGTAATAGTTAAACTGAAAGTAGAACAAGGGACTGTTACATATCTATCTCATTTAGTCCTCGGAGCGTAACAGAAGGCCCAGTAACAAACTAAAATAGTTTTTCATTCCTGCTAGAAGAAATATTGTAAATGAAGATAGGCAAATACTAGATAGAACAGTAAAAGATCTGAACTATAATAAATTATGTTAAGTCTTCAGTGAGGTCTGTTGTGGTACTTTGTTCTTATTTAAGGGAGAATCAAACAGTTGCAAATGGTTTACTGATGGGATCATATATTTTTAAAAAATGCAAAAAACAAAAAACCTCTCAATATCAAGAATAAAAAGATTGCCTAAACAGAACCTTAAGAGCAGTAATATCCAGCCTCATTAATTGGCATCAAGATGTGCTTTCCATAGGGATAATATGCCACAGATTATGAAAAATATTGCATCTTGAGTTCTTTGAAGACATCTTTCACATCCCTTGTTCCATCTTTGACTTTTTGAGCTCATAGTTGATGGCTAAGTCCACATACATTTCTAAGGAGGCTGTACTGTATTTATTTTATCTTTTGTCCCAACATAAAAAAATGTTTTAAATAAGTCAAATAACATGAGGTTTCATGTTATTCTTCCCATTCCCTTGACCAAAACTACCACATGAAATAGTTTAAACCTAAAAATAAATTACTCAGTAATAAAATGACAACTTGATAAAAGTCAAAAGATTTGAGCAGACAACTCATAAAGAAATATATATGAATGGCTAATAACACATGTGAAAAGTAATTGACTACACAAATCATCAGGGAATACAAATACCAATCAAAATGGCTACAGTGAAAAAGACACAATATCTAATGTTGATGAGGATATGGAGCAACCAGAACTCTCATGTATTGGTGGGAGTGTAAAATGGTGCAACCACTTTGGAAAAATGCCTTACAATTTCTTACAAACCAACTATGTACAACCGTTTTTTCCTATTTCCACATGCATATATATTTTTACTTACTGCGATCATAATACGGTTTACTTTTCACTTAATGAATTTTTAACATTTTTCTTCGTTCATTTTTATAAGGGCTTCAGGGAATATTTTGAATGTAAACCAATTTTCATGCTTGATTTATAGAATTTTATGACAGCGAATGAATAATTGTAAAATTTGAGTTGACTATCCAGGCAATAAACCAGAAAATGACATTCCTTCTCCCAGTTTCACTCCTCATTTAATCATTGTTTACAGTTGGTGGCTGTCTTTCTAGAGACTGAGAATGGATCTTATTATAGCATGTGATAAAATGCTATGAGCAAATAGTCACATATACCCTTTTTGGTAATTTTTAAAGACATAACTAAAATAACTTGCAAATTCTTATTTTAATTTTTAACGTGATGGTTGTCTTAGTTATCTAGTGCTTCTATAACAGAAATACCACAAATGGGTGGCTTTAAAAAACAGAAATCTATCTTCTCACAGTTTAGGAGGCTAGAAGTCCAAATTCAGAGTGCCGGCTCTAGGGAGAGGCTTTCTCTGTTGACTCTGGAGAAAGGTCCTTGTCTCTGAGTTTCTGCTCCCGGGCGATCTGCAGGTGGCTTGATGTGTGTGTTCCCCCATCTCTGCTTCCTAGCTTACTTATTTAATCTCTCTTATATCTCAAAGAGATTGACTCAAAATACACCCTACACTAATCCTGCATTGTTAACATAACAAGACAACCCATTTCCAAATGGGACTATAACCACAGACATAGAGATTAGGATTTACAACACATATTTTGGGGGGACACAATTCAACCCATAACAATGGTAGAGGACAAAACTTTGTTACCTCACCATTGTAACTATATCATAGATAAAATTACAGTAAAGTTTAGCCTGTCCCAAAGAAAACATATTTTTGAATGAATTAATTAAATCTTTATTGGGATTTTCTATGCATTTAGAATAAAGTAAAGGAAATTATTGAAGTTACTTAATAGTTGAAAAAAATTTCTAGGTAACCAAAACTATATCCAGTGCTAATAACATCTTTGTGATATGCTGAGTACTCCATTACTGGAAGTATTTAAGATGTTTGTGGCCATGTTTCAGAGAGATTCCTATATTAGGTGTGAACATAGATTTATAATAGACTATCGGAGTCCCTGGGTGGTGCAAATGGTTAAGTGCTTGACTACCAGCCAAAGGGTTAACAGTTTCAACCTACTCAGAGGTGCCTTGGAAGACAGGCCTGGCAATCTGCTTCCAAAAGATCACAGCCTTGGAAACCCTATGGAGCAGTTCTATTCTGTACACATGGAGTCACCACGACAGAATGATGACTTGATGGCAACTAATAACAATAACATATCTTATTACTAAATCACCACTGAACCAGGAAATGTTTTTACAAGGTTAACAAGAGCAAAGTGTGTACCATGGAACACACTATCCTGTGAAATAATTGATAAAAAGGTTTCCTAATTATATTCATTCTCATACTATCCATACTACATTCTTTCTCAAATATTTATAATGCACATTAATACACTACAAGTGCTGTAAAAAAAAAACTATTTTAACTTGGTTTAACTCTGTTCCAAATGTATTTGATGAAGGTACCTTCTTCTTTCTTTCCCCAAACACACCTATCATCCTGTGAAAGCTGTATTTCATGGAAGAAGCGTTCCATAGAACCCACTTTGTCTGGCATGATCTAGAGTCAAATAGGAGTCTCTAGGCACATCTGTTTTAGCTAATTCCTTAAGCTATGTGTGGTTCTGAGATTCTCTAGATTAGGAATGATCATAGTCATAGTCACCATTGCTGATGTCAGGTGGATTCTGGCTGAAAGCAGAGAATACCAGAAAGATGTTTACCTGTGTTTTATTGACTATGCAAAAGCATTCGACTATGTGATCATAACAAATTCTGGATAACATTGCAAAGAATGGGAATTCCAGAACACTTAATTGTGCTCTTGAGGAACCTGTACATAAATCAAGAGGCAGTCGTTCAAACAGAGCAAGGGGATACTGCGTGGTTTAAAGTCAGGAAACGTGTGCATCAGGGTTGTATCCTTTCACCATACTTATTTACTCTGTATGCTGAGCAAATAATCTGAGAAGCGGGACTATATGAAGAAGAATGGGGTATCAGGATTGAAGGAAAACTCATTAACAACCTGCATTATGCAAATGACACAACCTTGCTTGCTGAAAGTGAAGACGACTTGAAGCACTTACTGATGAAAATCTAAAGACCACAGCCTTCAGTATGGGTTACACTTCAACATAAAGAAAACAAAAATCCTCACAACTGGACCAATAAGCAACATCATGATAAATGGGAGAAACAATTGATGTTGTAAAGGATTTCATTTTACTTGGATCCACAGTCAACACCCATGGAAGCAGCAGTCAAGAAATCAAAAGACGCATTGCATTGGCCAATACAATGACCTGCAAAAGACCTCTTTAAAGTGTTGAAAAGCAAAGATGTCACCTTAAAGACTAAGGTGTGCCTAACCCAAGCCATGGTGTTTTCAATCGCCTCATATGCATGCAAAAGCTGGACAACGAATAAGGAAGACTGAAGAAGAATTGATGCCTTTGAATTGTGGTGTTGGTGAAGAATACTGAATATACCAGGGACTGCCAAAAGAACGAACAAATCTGTCTTGGTCTTGGAAGAAGTACAACCAGAATATTCCTTAGAAGCAAGGATGGTGAAACTAAGTCTCACATACTTTGGACATGTTATCAGGAGGGATCAGTCCCTGGAGCAGGACATCATGCTTGGTAAAATAGAGGTCATTGGAAAACAGGAAGACCCTCAACGAGATGGATTGATAAAGTGGCTGCAACAACGGGCTCAAGTGTAACAATAATTGTGAGGATGGCACAGGACCAGGCAGTGTTTTGTTCTTTTGTACATAGGGTCGCTATGAGATGGAGCCGCTATGTGGTGGAGTCGACTTGATGGCACCTAACAACAACAACATAGTCTTAAAAACAAACCACCTGCCCTCCATATTCTCTCACTTCCTTACCTCTACCTCTTCTCTGTTAGAGTACAGCATCCTTTAGCTCTACTGACTCTCTCTTCCCCTGCTTCAACTCTTCCATTCCTGCTCAAAGAAATGGGATCCATTTAGTCAGGCAAGTTTATCGAGAGCTTGGCTGCTAACCAAAAGGTTGGCAGTTCGAATCCCCCAGCCTTTCCGTGGAAACCCCATGGGGCAGTTGTACTCTGTCTTATAGGGTTGCTATGAGTCGGAATTGACTTTGGTTTCTGTTTGGTTAGGTCTTTTGCTAGGCACTGGGGATATAACCCAAACAAAACCCATTGCTGTCGGTTAGATTCTGACTTATGACAACCCTATGTAGCAGTGAACAAAACTGATATCACATTATTACTATGTTCCCTCTCTTCTCCTGTGCTTTACTCCGGGAGGGGGAACCCCACAGCCTCATGCCCAAAAGCTTTACCAACCTGAACTTTCTAGCATTCAGAGTTCCCCAAGTCCTAGATTTGGAAGCAGCTCAGGAACCCTTTAGGTTATTGTCTGAAAGGGACATAAGAAGAACTTGTAGATGACTACATAGTAAAGAACACAGGAGGCTTCAGTTTTAGGCTGTAGTGGAGAAAGAAGCACAACAAACTGTTGGGAGTCAAAACCATTATTTTATTTTTTCAGTGTATGAGCAAGACAATTAAACTAGGTATCTTATCATGGAAACTGTCAACATTGATGCTGACTAGGAATACTGGAGAACTTTCAAAGTGAGAAGTAACAAAGCTAAAAACTAGATGGCTAAGTTAAAGAGCATTTGTATGAACTGTTTAATTATACTGTAGCACTGGGTGCAGTCAACTTGCGTGATTTGTTGCCTATGTTGCAAGGTCCTCAGCTAACAGATAATTGATTTTTAGAACTTAAAAGGACCTTGTAGACATTATGGCATAGCCTGCTCACAATTTAAAATTTTAAAGGGAGAAGTCGAGGTCTGCTAGGAGAAGAGGAGTTAACATAATTAGATTTTTCTCATATAAGGCTTTCTGGTAATATGTGGTTAAGTCTATGCTGCTATAGTCATAGGTTTTGTTTTGTTTTCTGTTTTTTTTTTTTTAAGTTTTCAGGGAGGTGTAGATTCAGAAGGAATTGGAAAAAAAATATTCTTGATACAGAGCCTTGGAGGGAGATGCAAATGTGTTTTGAATGCTAAATTTACTTAGATTCAAAAATACATATCTTCAAGCAAAGTTGCCATGACAACCTTTCTTAATGTGTATATAAATTTTATGTCTGTCTCTGAGATTTTCATCTTTTCCAATACAGGTTCTAGTCACAAGAATTGGGTACTGTGGTACATTTCTATTTGGATGGTGCCCTGTGGAAATTATGTAATTTTGGAAAGTGCAAATCAAGTAACAGGGCAGCTCTGTAGCAAGGTGATCCCACCAGGATAAATGTCATCTTCTTCTCTCCATGATCAGAGATGCATCTGACTTCAAACCCAAGAAGAAATTTTGGATTGAAGTAGAACCATGAATCTGTTCTGAGTTTGTTTTTTCTTACCTAGAGAATTTATAGGAGAGCCCTAGGAAATTTGGAAATTTCTGGACCAAATCTCTTGATTAACCCTACAACTGATCTAGCCTCTTTGGGAACTTTCAAATCTAAAACCATAGCTGATATCACAAGATCACTCAGAGCCATTAGATTTCTCTACAATGGGTATGCCTGTGCACAGAGCCACTGCAGAAGTTGCTTTTGGCCTGGACTCCAATCTAAAAATGCTAGAGAGATACCATTATCATACCTCCTGTCTTCCTTTTACTCCATTTCACATACCCCTGCCTCTCAAGCTTTATTTTGCATGTCAGGGGCTAAGGAGAAGAATAGCTGGATTTTGGAGACCCAAAGTTTAGGATGAAGGAATTTTCAATCCCAATTCTGGAAATATGAGTTTACTAAGCCATGAAATAAGGGGATAGTCACTGGTACTTTCTGGTATGTTAATCATAATTGCCAGAGATTTTTCTGCTGGAAGACAAAATGGGATTTCTGCCTGAAATACCATCACAAAACCGTTTTAAATATTCCACTGGTATGAGTCATTCACTTATTCATATGGGTAGACGTTTAGATAATAGAAGTAGTTAACAGAAATCTGTGCAAGATATATTGTTAATTCCTGTGGAGGAGGAAGGAAGAAATCCTACTTATGTATTGTAAATGTAGTTAAATTCAGTGTTCCT